GATTTCAGATGTTACAAAAGCTTGGATGGAGCGAAGGACAAGGGCTGGGTAGTGAGGGTAGCGGTCGTATTGAACCAATCAATAAGTAATACTATTTTTATATAACAGTATTATATATTACTTTAATGTTGTTTCCGGTCCACCAAACATATTAAATATTTTTAATCTTTTAATTGATAAATATTTCTAGAGCAACAAATAGACTCGATAGTGCAGGTTTAGGTTCTGAAAGACCAGACGGAGTATCTAGAGATGATGATGAATTTGACGCATATAGAAAACGAATGATGCTTGCTTATAGATTTAGGCCTAATCCATTAGTAAGTATTATAATAAGATAAAAAAAAACGTCAACTTGCAGATATTTAAAGATCTGTTTCAATTATTACGTTTTTTTTTTTTTTTCAGAATAATCCGAGGCGACCTTATTATTAAGAATCAAGATACATCATCAATTAATTAGTATTCCTTTTATTACTAATGTAGATTGCCTTTATTTTGTATATTTGAAATTGTATATTTCATTTTAAAATATATCTCTTATAAAATTTCTGCTTTTTCTCTAAGCAAAATTTTTTAGGAGAAAGCGCTCTAACAAAGTTTGAACTTTAAAAAGTTCAAATAGTAAAAAGACATGTAGATATCACGACTCTATGAATATAAATTTTATTTTAATTCGTAATTTTTGTGTATTATAATGTAAAAAAGTTGCGTGTTATCTCTTTAATAGTTTCTTTAGTAAATATATAAAAAAATCAACTTTTTTTGCAAAAATTTCATTACGCAAACATTATTCATAAAGCTTGTGATTTTTTAAGTTCTTTATTAAAAATCTGCGATATCTAATCTCGCACATCTATAAAGATATTTATCTATATTTATATCAGCAATATCTATATAATACAAAGGATATCTGTATAGATATCTGTATGTTTCAATATTTTGATATTTTGATATTTTGATCAAGACTCGCAACAAATAAGATTATTAAAAACAACAAAACAAAAACAAAAAAACAAAAAAAAACAAATGCGCAAACATTCTTGTGACGTCCACGCAAACGTATTATCACTAATGAAATTTTTTTAATTTAAGCAAGCTTATATTTGTACTCACACGATTGGATTGATTTCTAAGTTTAATATACAGCATTTTATTTCCAACTTCAAGATTGTACTTTTTGTTCGTATTCACGATATCAATATCGTGAAAGTATTCATATATAATTTTTATCGACAAGATCTTTGAAAGTACCTATTAACATATTTCTGTAACGACTATCATTTTGTAATCTGTCTTCGAGCATTTTTTTTTCGTACGTATTTTTTATTTCTACGCCATCACTGGTAAATATATGCAAGGTATAAGTAGCCATTCCCGCTGCATATTTGCCGAATCTGGTAAAATGTTCGGATAATGCTTCGTGAGGAAAGAGAACGTTAGGATCGTAACCGGCTCTTTCGAGGCACTTGGATAGGGTTTCGTAATATTCGTGTATCAGCTGATCATAATATTTACTTCTCATTTCTTGTGTGCAGCAGCAAAAGAGTATATAAAGTATATCTAAAACGGGAGATGCGTAACGACATAATTGAAGATCTATAAAACGCAAGTCGCATGGATTATTTTCCTGAAACGGAACAAACAAGTTATGCATATATTAATGTATACGTACGCATGTTAATTTAACGCAAGTTTTAGAATATCTATGATCATCTCATTGACAAAATATCTAACGATACATACTTTGTCGTATTTGAAGAGCATATTGTTAGTCCAAGCATCACCGTGATTTACAACGGCGTATGGTTCAGCAGCACTTCCATCGACTGAATCTATCATGTTCTCTCTCATATTCTCTGCAAATCGTTGATATCGTTCAGAATAATGCTTGTCTTCGATTGCCAAAGCCTATGCGTATAATAAAAAAAAAAAAAGAAAAATTTTTTAAATTTCGATGGCGTACTTTTCAAAATAATGAAATACAAAAATACAAGTACCTTTATTACGTTTACGACGATGTGACGTATGCTTGTAACAGCATTGGAAATTTCATTTGCATTTGTTTCTTTAAGAAATACGTGTTCCTTCATCCGCCTTAATTTTTCGAAGCTCGTCGGATCCGCGGAACGCGTAATGAAGCTGCACGCGTGAAATTCACCTAGACATCTCAACGCCAGGCTGGCATGTGGATAATCCATGATTTTTGACTTGGCCATCACGAAACCTTGGGGCGCCAAATTCTCTAACATCAGCATCTATGAGAAATTATTATTATCCGTTCATGCACGCGTCTCATCGCTTTAGAAAAGATACAAATCTAATCTTACATAAATCATACTGTACGAGACACACTTGAAAGCTTATCACGTTGCGAGATAAACAGAGGACGGTAATCTTAATGTTGTCAAATCACGTCATCTTACGAGTCGGTTATTCGCGGTTGAATAAGAATTTCCTCCTTATGCATGCATGCATGCATGCATACATGCATGCGCATAAATGCATAAATGTAATATAAATACGAAACTCTTCGTCGTAAAAAAAAGTAAATCGCGGGGTGATTTGTGCGGGAGTCGCTTTTCTCGTCTGATAAGGCGTTATCGCGGGAAAAATAATTATTACTAAGCTATCTAAAATATTACGGTGTATGTACATATTGTGCAAGATAAGATAAGAATGTATCTCTTATTAGGAGGTAATTACGTTAGCTTAATTTTTTTTTCTCGTCCCGCACGCGCAGAAATTCTTTCTTCGTCAAAATGTCAGAGATATTACGTATGCGCGATGTTACGTACTAAACAAGAATCGAGCCTTTGAAGACGAGTACACAGTGTACTTTCGCGAGCCGTCTAATTATCGGACACTCTGCTCTATGAACCTCTACCGCGATGATTAGCACTGATTATATCTACCTTTACTACTAAACGGAGCGGGGAAAAGATTTCAAAAATTGCGGAAGATATAGCAGTGGTTGTGGATTACTGGCCGTTACCTTATGTAAACCTCGAATACGAGGTGCAGCTTTCGAATCAGCACATTTGATTCCCAAATTTTGCCCTCCCCCCCCCCCCTCGTGCTCTGCCGCACTTCCATTCTCCGGTTTGCAAAATTATGGCAATTTTGGAAATTTGTCAGTTTGGAAATCTCGATTTCGAAAGCCTTAAATCGATCGAGTACGCGCGTTCTCTTGGGGAGAGAGAGAGCTTGCGTTCCGCCGAGAGAACGTTTGATTAAATTTTCAAAACTGATAATTTTGCAAAAATTTTGGGAACAAAGCCGCGATAGAGAGGAAATCTCTTGCGTTAATGCTCGAACGCAGATTGGCCATTAGTGAAAATATTGCGTAATGCAAAGGTTAACCGGACCTTATGTCTCACTTGATAATCTTTAAACCAGTTTATTATGCACGCGCGCGCGCACTCGCGCGTGTGTCATTATAAATCGACATTTCACTTCGCGACATGATGCCCGCATTTTATTTACACGTTTATAAATCTCGCCGGGCCAATTTAGCCAACGCCGGTGAGACGGTATTGTCCTCGGGACGTGCGAAGGGTGGGCGGTCCGAACGAACGGCTTCGAACGAAATGGACAAAAAAAAAAAAAAAAAGAAGGGAAAAGAAGAAACAAATAAATCGACGTTTCGGAACTTCGAAGCGTGCATTCGAAGCGATATCGTTCCTCGAATTGCACGCGAATAATTCGAATAAATTCCTCACTTCCTTAGAGAGGCCGGATTATCTGTCGATTTTCATCTCTCTCGCGGCCTCATTACGGCGGTGGCCGCGCTATATTCGCGCGGCGAGAAACGAGATTATGTAAAGGCAACGTACGGACGTATTTTACATACGCGATTACATGGCCCCGCGTACGCGTACGTTTATTGCTTCATCGGCATCGATCGCGATTCGGCGAGCCGCAGGGATTACCTCCTTTCCGGACTCGTCATAAGCGTCGCACAGGGCGGGAAAGCGCTCCAAGACCTCGCCGTGTTCCCTCATCGTCCTTTCGAAGATCGGCAGGATCTCCTGATAGAAGAACATCTCGCGCTGGAACATCCTCGTGACGCTGCTGTTGGTCAGCACCTCGTCGGAATAAGTCCGCGTCGTCTTTAGGATCAGGTCGATTTTCTTGGCCTCGCCTTGGTTCTCGGTGCCCTCGATCGCGACGCGATAGACGAGACTGACGTAATTGTCGCCCTTATTCGTCGCCTCGATCACGCGAAATTTCGGATCTGTCAGCCCGGTGATTTTTACGTATGTACGCAAATAGGCGTTCAGTCGCTCGTCCGACACGGTTCTCTCGCCCGGGTCTCCCATCTTTCTTTCTTCCCGTTAATACCTTTTTATCTCGCGCGGAGATCTTTAGTCCGTTCCTTACGACGGACGGGTCGGCAATAATCTTGCGTGATCTAAGGTATTAACAAGTATCGCTCGTCGTGAGCGAAATCGTACGTGGTGGTTCTGCGGTAAACGCGACCGCTTGCCGCTGCTCCTCGACGATAAGGAAGTGTTTACTGGGACGAACGTCGAAAAGCATCGCTTATATTATATCGCTTTCGTTATCGCGTTTCTGGTTTATAAATCGCTATAGGCGAACTATCATCATCATTACGAAATGCATACGCGCGATTACTCTCGAGATCTAACTCATCGAAAAAAAAGTTCTGCACATCTTCCCGTGCACATCTTCCACAATTCTCTCTTCCTCTTCCTTCCTCCTCCCCCTCTTTTTTTTTCTTTCTTTCTCTCCACCTCTCTCGGTTTATCTGAAGTAAATATAGAACGGCGGTGATGTATTATAAATTATAAGTTTATTATATATATATATATATATATATTCTTGACATTCTTTTACCTATTAAATTATAAGTTTTATATATATATATATATATATATATTCTTGACATTCTTTACCTATTAATGAGGTTGTTCACCTTTAACGTTTACCTAGAACGAAAGGCGCTCAGTACAGTCGTGTCGCTTATCTGTCGGTTATTTTTACACGAAACGCGCAAGAGAGAAAGGAAGGAAAAGAGAGGAGTGTGAGGCGTGGCGAGAGATACTGACCACCATTTCTCCAATTAAAGTGCCTTCGCCCGTTTCCAGTTGAGAAACGGTATTTCCTACGATAGTGCCTACTTGAGTCTACTTGAGTCTACTATATACTGCCTTTCAAGTATATACATTCGACTTGTGATGTACAATTACACGCTTTTATAAAAGCAGCTATTTGTTTTTCCTCGCACCGACCGATTCATCCGTGTTGATCTGTGCATAAACGCATTAACACCTTGAGAAATGAACATTCTACAAGATGTTTCATACCTTTCAAAAAGTAACAGCATAAATTATTATACTAATTATCCTTCGGTACGAATACCACAGTATTGTTTTTAAAGATGATAAAGAAACGTAAGCGTTTAAAAAAAAAAGAATTGTCATATCACTTTATAATATGATGGTAATTTTTACACGACCTTGGCACAGTCAATTGGAGAATAATTTTTTAAATAAAAACACGTCCTCCTCTGAATCATACAAGATTATAAAAACTGTGTTTTTATTATCTTTGTCTTATAATCTTTGTCAGTTTCAAGTACATCGATTAAAGTGCGATACTTGTATGTAAAATCTTTACGTGTGAATATATGTATATAGCTTTATTATACATATAATTTACTCATTTACACACACACACACACACACACACACACACACACACATACACGAATGCGAATTGCTCCCAAAATCTTAATTGTCGGCACAGATCACGTATATAGTCCTTAATGGTCCTGTGAACAATTCGATTCGCTCGGCCTACTCCGGCCGAATAAAAACGCGAGGCGCGATCGTGCACCTGTAAGATAAGAGGAGAAATCCTCAAGAAAGAAATCCTTGATTTAAATAAAAACAGAAAGTTGCAAACTTGCGGAGGACGTCGGGTTTTGTCAAAATTAAGCGGAAGCGGTGATTGGCGCGCGCGCGCGCGCGCGCATGCGCGCGCACGCGTTTCCACAGACGATTGGAAATCGGTCAATCGGAGGAACAATCGGTACCTTATCCAACAGAGTTGGCAAAGATCTTTACGTTTCAGTGCGGCAGCGCGATCTCGTACACGGCGACCCTATACAATTTACGGACCTACCAACTTGTATTAGCTGCTTGCGTAATCGTGACTTTCATACGTTGCACTTTCGTTTTCGAAAGTGTGATGTAATCGCTATTTAGATAGAGGAATCCGGCAGAACAAAAAAAAAAGGAGGAAAGAAGAAAATTATCCGCCTCGCGGAAGCATCCGAAAAGTCTCCACGGCATCAGCGAGAAGTTGGCAGGACAATTGTGGAAAAGCCGCTTGTTGAAAGACCAGTCTTACTGGGCCTTACTGGGAACGTGTCGTTACCAACGAGACAGTGGCCCTGTCCCGCACGATCATTTTCTTTTTTTTTTTCAGCAGGTGCGAGGTCATTCGTCGTGAGAATATTCCTGTTCGTTTGTTTCTCGCAGCTGAGCCACCTTATAATTTTCGTAATTTTCTTTTTTCTCTATGACATTTCATTATTCCGGATAGTCAAATCTGTCGAGAGCAGATTTTGTAAAATGTCCGCTGAAAACTTCCTCGATAAAATGCCAACGAATAAAATGCCAAAGAAATGTAATAGAATTTATTAATGGAATATGATGACACGTTTACTGAAACAGATTTATAGAAATCGAATGAAATTTAGCCGAACGCTATTTTGCAATCATTCGAATGATACATTTTATTTAAATGATTACAAAATGGCAGCTTCTGTTCGGTTTCTTGTAAATCTGCTTCAGTAAATGCACCATCGTACTTTATTAATAGATCCTGTTATATTTCTGCTGACATTTTGCCAGTGAAATTTCTGCTGGCAATCATTTAATGATAAATTTCATTTATAAGTAAGATTTCAAAACAGCAGATTCTGCTCATTTTCCGCTGGCAATCTGTCGTCATATTATGACAGCAGGCTCAGCTGACAGAACATTAGCTTCTTACGAACGCAGTTGATGTCATTTGATGAATTTGCAGCAATATTCTATTTAAATTTATAACCGAAGAAAAGTATTAACAACTGAAGAAATAGCATCTTGATTTATTAAAGTATATATTATAAAGTAACAAGAAAATTTTAAGAAAAAAATATAGCAATATTAATCATCTATGTATGATAAAATAGAGGAAGAAAATAATAATATAAAATACATTTATTAGTAAAAAGACATATTATTAACATAAAAAAATGTCATAGTACCTGATTATGATTGATTTCAGAAAAATATTTAAACCGAAAAAGTATAACGTTGTAATCCATTACATGAAGTCTGTATAATTAAATATTATAGTTATTCTGAAATTTCACAACTACTACTTTAATAGTTACATAAATGAAAAATAAATAATGTTAATATCCATTTATTGCGACTAAACTTTTATATTTCCTTTTTTATTATTTTATAAAACTATTTGCGAATATTTAAATCTCAATCCATCCGCACCGTATCAGAATGATAATTCTCACTGTAATACACTCGTCTGTTTCATTTTAAATGCAAGAAGAACATAACCCACTTGCAGAAAAAAGGCTTAATATCATCTTTATATATATATATGTATCCTTAATTTAATCTTGCATCAGTTATCTCATTAATTTTTCAGCGTTAATTTGTAGCGCTTGTTCGCCGTTCATTGTTCGTGTAAATAGCGCCATTGGAAAAAAAAAGGAAAAAGAATGGCGGGTTCGCGATCCCTATAATTTACTCGTTTCCCAGCGCCGTTACCTCACAGCCCGCTCGACTGTTTATCTCGCACGCGACGCCGACGACGACGTTGTTCCTGATTTGATTTCGATTGCAGGACGATCCTCCGTCTTTTCTCGTCTGTCTCAATCCGCGGGGCCGTTGACACGTTCGCGGTGCGTTGAGGAGGTGCGACATGTCCTGTCCGGACGCGAACGGATCCCTGCCGGGGAGGAGGGGGGGGGGGACAACGGAGGGGGGTAGGAAGGGAGGGGGGGAGGGGTACCCGGGTTTTTTTTCGTAGTTC